GGAGAGGGAGGGGGAGTGACGAGGAATGATGAATGAGGATGAGGATGAGGATGATGTTGATGATGCTGATGATGACGATGTTGTTGATGATGATGGTGATAATGATGGTAATGACGACGCTGATACTGGTGCTGATGCTGCTGATGATGATGCTGGTGATGATGGTGATAATGACGATGAATGCGATCGTGGTGATGATGGTGATATTGATGATGATGATGATGATGAGGAGGAGGAGGAAGATAGTGATGACGATGCTGATGATATTGATGATGATGACGATGATGGTAACGATGATGACGATGCTGGTGATTGTGATGATGCTACGGATTGTGATGCTGATGAAGATAATGGTTATGATGGTAATGGTAAGGATGGAAATGATGATGGTGACGATGATGATGGTGATGGTGTTGCTGATGCTGATGATGCTGATGATGAGGAGGATGACGATGATGATGATGATGATGAGGATGAGGATGAGGATGTTGATGCTGGTGATGATGATGGCGATCATGATCATGATCGTGGTGATGATGATGCTGATGATGATGATGCTGATGATGCTGATGATGATGAAAATGATGATGATGATGATGATGCTGATGATGATGATGATGATGATGATGATGATGATGATGATGATGATGATGATGATGATGATGATGATGATGATGATGATGGGGAGGGGGACGAAGAGGATGAGGAGGAGGATTACCGAAAGGGTGATGATGAGCACGATCAGGATGAGAAGGGGGAGGAGGAAGAGGAGGAGGAGGAGGAGGAGGAGGAGGAGGAGGAGGAGGAGGAAGGGAGGAGGAGGAGGAGGAGGAGGAGGAGGAGGAGGAGGAGGAATGGGGTGGATCATCCAGACCGCCTGATGCGGTCACAGGTGGGCCAAGGGGACCACAGGAGGGCAAACATAGAATGGCTACAGGAGGGGAGGTCGTCCCCCTCCTCTTGTCCTTGCTCCTCCTTCCTTCTCTTCCCACTGTGGATGGACGTATTGTTATAGGGATGCCGTGGGGCCTTCAGAGGCCTCCTCGGGGAGGAAGCTGTTTCATCGAGAGGTGCTCTCACGCAAGAGTTCTTGCTGTCAGGAGCTGGCCCATGGCATCGAACTGGTGTCGCCCCAGCGGGCTTCCACGCGCCCTGGCCTCCTGGCTCCCCACGGGATTCCACGTACCGCGTCGTCGCCCACGGGGAGCGGCACGCGCCTTGGCGTTCGTCGCCCCTGGGGAGCGGCACGCGCCTTGGCGTTCTCGGGGGCTTCTGGGAGATTCTTCTTCGGCTCCTGACGTAGGTTTTTCCGGCCCTCGGAGGATTGCGATCTTCGGGAGGGGGGGGGGGGGAATCGGTGTCAATGCCACGCCGCCGTCGGGGACCCCTCTGCGCGGTGCTCCTTCGGCGGCGTTGACCGGGGGCGTGGTGCTCTTTCAAGAGCGGCGCGCTTATCTGGCTCCCCGTGGCGGCGTGCTACCGACGCTGCGTTTTTCCCCCCCCCCCCCCCCCCCCCCAGTTCCGACAGCCGCGCCTCCCACACCCCCGACGTCATGATTATTTGTTCATAACGATGACGTCGACCCCCAAGACGTCTCGACCCATTGCCCGGGACCGGTTTTTCATCCCGAATCGCTTTTTGGCGGCCCCGAGGCCAAGTAAGGGCCCCCAGGGGCCGAACTTTGCCAAAGACCTTCCGTCGCGATGTCTTAAAACCTTTCCGTCGTTTCTTCTTTCACGACCCGATGGGGTCTGGGCTCGTCTGGAGCCTCCCAGGGACGCCAGGCTCGTCCCGAACTGCCCGCCCCCTCGCGTGTGTGCCCAGGGCCAGAGCGAGCCGCCCCGGCCTCTGCCCCCCCCCTTGGAGGCGCCCGTCTCCCGCCCCGGGCGCGACGCGCGGGAGACTTGCCCCCGGGGAGCGAAGAGTCCGCCCTGGAGTTTGGAACCCCACCCGTTGGGCCTGTCTTCCACCACCACCACCACCACCATAAGTTTGAGGGGGAGGGGGTCCTCCTCCTCCTCCTCCTCCTCCTCCTCCTCCTCCTCCTCCTCCTCCTCCTCCTCCTCCTCTTCCTCCTCCTCCTCCTCCTCCTCCTCCTCCTCCTCCTCCTCCTCCTACTGTTGCTCCTCCGCCGCCCTCCACCTCCCGGCCGCTTTCGAGGAGGTGAGCGGCCATCGTGGGCAGTCGCTCAACCCTGCTGGGCGGGGAGCTGTGTGACTTTCTGGCCGTCCGCCTTCGCCGTGGCGATGCTGGCGAACGTGGTGCTGGCGGAGGAGACGGGCAGCCTCGGCCATGCGGCATGCCCGACGCCGCGGCCGACCTCGACGCCGTGTTCCTGCAGGCGCCCAGGGCCCTCAACGAGGCGGCCGAGCTCGAGGCCGAGCTGGAGCCGCTCTGCCCCGCAGCTGATGTGGCGAGCGGTGTGGCGGAGACTGAGGCCGAGCGCGAGGCGCTCAAGGCCCAGGCCGCGGCCGCGGCGGCGAAGGCGGCCTCGCTCGCGCGTGCGGCGGCCTCGGGCGCCCAGGGCATGGCCGCCCCCGACGCCGCGGGAGCTCGCGACGCCCGACGCCGAGGCACGGGAACAGCGGGCGGAGACCTGGCGGTGGATGCGCGGAAGGACCCCCCGCGGGCCAACCCGCTCCCGCCCGCGCGGCCGAAGCCGCCGCAGGACCCTCAGCGGCTGGTGAGGGCAAGGGTGCTGCGCGAACATCTCGCCCTTGCGGCCGTCATGGGCCAGCTCCGCGCCGCCGAGGCTGCCCTGTCAGCTGCGGGGCTTCCAGCTCATCCTGGGCCGCCTGGGCAGCGAGCTGGGCTGCAAGGGTGAGTACGGCTCCGCGGGGCGTCAGTACCCCTCCTCCCCGACCCGTCAGGAGGGCTGCGGCGGGCCTGGCCTGTATTTCCACTAGGCCGGTTGCCGGGTCCGTGGTCTTCAACCCGTTCGGTTCGGTGCTCCTCTTCGGCCTCGGGGCGGGGCCGCCTTACCACGTCCACGGGCGGGCTGGGCGTGAGCCCCCGCAGCGCCGCGCATTTCGCGCCCCTTCGCCCGCGGCGTTCGCGGACGGCCGCGGGCGGCCGAGCGCGGCGAGCGCGGGGGACCACGCTCGGCCGCGCCTCGGTCTGCTCCACTCCACTCCTCCTCCTCCTCCTCCTCCTCCTCCTCCTCCTGCTCTTCCTCCTCCTCCTCCTCGTCCTCCTCCTCCTTCTCTTCGTCGTCCTCCTCCTCCTCCTCCTCCTCCTCCTCCTCCTCTTCCTCCTCCTCCTCTCCTCCTCCTCCTTCTCGTCTCTCCCTCCTCCTTCTCTCCCGTCTTCCTCCTCCTCTCCTCCTCCTCCTCCTCCCTCCTCTCCTCTCCCTCCTCCTCCTTCTCCTTCTCCTCCTCCTCCTCGTCCTCCTCCTCCTCGTCACCCCCCAACTTATGGTGGTGATGGCGGTGGAAAACATGACCATCACCGCCTGCGAGGAGGAAGGGGGATTGGAGCCTGGTTTTCTTTAGGTTCAGGCGAATTTGCTAGCGTGGCGTTCGCCCCCCCCCCCCCCCCCTCGCCCTTCTTCAACCGAATGCGAGCGTGCAAGTGCCTTTTTTCGACCTGCCTTTCGATTTGCATGCTTTCGATGTGGATTCCACCTGGGAGGAGACGCCACGAGGCGAGGCCGGCTCCGCCAGGGAGCCGAAGGTTCTGCGCTCAAGTTGCGACCTCGTCGATGTAGGATGGCTATTGTGGTCAGTATTGTTTGTTGCTTACCTATCGGTCGTTGAAAGCAGGTACTTGTGGAGTCCCAGTTTCTAGTCTACTTTAAGCGCCTTCCTACTTCAATGATCGAATGGCTTCACCTATTCCGTCCTCTTTCGGGGGCGGGCGGACACCCAATCTATTTTCAACACCTCCCTACTTCATGTTTCGACCTTCTTCTTCCGACTTCCGACCGATGGGCAGCGTGTCGCTCCGCCGGTTCTGGCCCACCACGCTTCGGCGCGACATGGGGTCTACTTATTCACATGCCCCGAGCGTTCAACGTGACTAAGGGGGAAGGGGATATCATGGCTGGGTCCGCGGGAGTCCTTCACGGATTTCACGCCCTCCTTCCGCTTCTTAATGCTTATCATGTGTTTTTTGACCCCTCCGCCCCCTCCCGTGGGTCGCGCACATTCCTCGGGTCATGATCTGAAAAACCCTTTCTTGGACGGCGCCCCCTTTGACGCCCTCGAAGATGCGAGAAGGGCGAGAACGGGACCACCTTCCATTTCTGCATCCTCCCCTTTCCCCCTCTCTCCCCATCTCCCGTGCCACTGGCCCAGAAGCGCAAGCTGAGAGACAGTGGTGTCAACGACAATCCATATTGGTAGCGCTGTTCAGGGCAATATTAACGGGTGGAACGCCAACGTCGCAAGGTCGCAGCGACATCCTCACCTCATTCCCTTTGCGAGGCTGTACGTAGATGCGCACGGAAATATGCCAATGACGAAAGGACGCGCTCTTTTGGTCCCAATTTCGTCGCAGTGAATGTTTGGTCTGGCTTCCAGCATGATTCAAGAGGACAATATTCTCTAAACTATGGGGTCGCTGGTCGTTGTGATTTTCGCATGCACCTTGACTTGGTGCAACCTGCATCTAGGCATGGTCATCGTACGAAGAGTTCTGGGGCACCCATAACATCTGGCCCTGATGTTGATCATCATGATGGTTGTGGTGGTTATGCTGATGTCGAGGTGCTGCTGATAGTGTGCGGCAGTTCGAACGTGGTGCCGATGATGAGGAGAAGGGGGAGGACAGGGGCGGGGCTGATGATGCTGACAGAATGGAAGAAGCAACATTCAGCTTCATTATGAGGAGGGGGAGGAAAAGGAGGAGGAGGAGGAGGAGGAGTAGGAGGAGGAGGGGGAGGAAAAGGAGGAGGAGGAGGAGGAGGAGAGGAGGGGAGGAGGAGGAGGAGGAGGAGGGAGGAGGAGGAGGAGGAGGAGGAGGAGGAGGAGGAGGGGGGCTCTCCTGAGGGGTTCTGCAGGTGTGGCTACTCGCCCAGGGACGAGTCGGCGATCCTGGCGCGTCCATGCGAGGCAGGTGCTCGCGGAGCTGGAGCCTGATGGAAGCGGGGCGAAGAGGTGCTGGGAAAGGGCGAGGAGGGGAGGGGTAAGCCTGGGAGGGGGCGAGGATGGTAATGATGAGAGAGTCGGCGGCGCGCGCCGAGGGGTGAAAAGCGAAGGGGGGCCGGCCTCCTCAGAGGGCGGCGGAGCTCAGAGGCCCTCGAGCCTTCCCTTGAAGCCCTCCGTGGCTTCGGGGAGAGCTTAGAGAAAGGTCTTCCCTTGAAGTCCTCCGTGGCTTCGGGGAGAGCCTTCCCTTGAAGCCCTCCGTGGCTTCGGGGAGAGCTCCGTGGCTTCGCGGTTTCGGAAAGGTTTTCAGACGGCCGGAGGCCTTCTGATCCTTCTGGGAAGGCCCGCCCCCTTGGCCTTCCCCCCTGGGCACGCCGCCGAGGTAGGGCGGAGGGATAGGAGGAGAGGAGGGGGGTTCATGAAGGAGCACGGGAATCTAAGGTGGAGATGAACTTGGGGATCGCAGCGGTGGGAGGGGGGGGGGAGGAAATGGGGAGCAGAGAAGAGTGTAAGACAGTGCAGAATCGGGGAGGAGCGGAGGGGTGGGAGATTCGGCGCGAGTCGACGGGAGGGACAGGGTGGGCCAGGACGTGCCGGAGTACGGGATGACTCCCGCGTATGGCAGCTCAGAAGGGTGCGCAAGACGTCACGGTGGTGGAGGGCGGGAAGGGGGCTCGAATGTCCGTGGTCTTCAAAGACGCGGAGTCAAGCCGGGATTCGACCCTCCTCTACACACCCCTCTGTCCTTCTCCCCCGCCGCCTCCTCAGAGCGGGCGGGGGCAGGAGGGCGGGGGGCCGGTGCCAACCGGCACAGTACGAGAGGCGTGGGCGAACGGGTCCAAGTCCCCAACGGGTTGTGTCCGAATCCGTTTTCTGTTCGTGGTCTGGCGCTGATTTCGACCGTGGATGTAGCGACGTTCAGAGGAGATGTTCGCGTGGTGTGACGTGCGTCTTGTCTGGATAAGCATGCGCGTTGCTCGTCACGAACACTGTTTCCAGGGCGCTGCTAACCAGGACTTCGAACAAATGTTTCGACCCACGGCTGCAATTTTCTCGGGCGCGCCACCGTCCTGGTCTGTCAAAGTCCCCGTTTGGGGGGCCCTGAGGGGCGCCGTCACCAGTTGAAGCGCCGCTCGACGATCTGCTGGCTGGGCGGCGGGCTCCTCCTCTCCTCCAGCGCGTTCCACTACTCGCAAATTGCCGACTCGCAAACGTCCGAACAAAAAGTACATGTCTGCCTTGATGTAATTTATCGTAGATCCCCTGCGGGGGATCCAGGCCATTTGCGAGTAGTCACTTTGCGAGTAGCGGAACGCGCTCGTCTATCCTCTCCTCCCTTCATCGGAGCATGTCTGGGCCTTGGCCGAAAGAGCCGCCGACGACGACGAAGAAGCCGCGCCCAGACGGCGCACTGGCAAAGAGGAGTAATTAGCACATGCGCGTGAAAAGGAAGTAATTACTTCCGCAACGCCCTGGAGTTTTCGCGCGGGCAGCTACCACAGACATCCCGTTGCATTGCAGGGCCTGGGAGGGGAAGGGGAAGAGGAGGAGGAGTAGGAGGAGGAGGAGGAGGAGACAAGCTCTGCCAAGCTCGGAACAACCGCCGATCTGCATTACATCCGGGGAATTGTAAGACTCGAGCTCGCTGGAACTAGGGTTCGCCCATTGACGGGCCCGTCCTGAATTTGCACCGGCCCACTTTCCGTTGGATGTTGGCAGCAAGAGAGCTCGCTCGGAGTTGCAGAATGGGTCTCGCCGTCCCCCCGACGGCCCCGCCAGGACAGCCCGAGTCCTCCGAACTCGCGTCTCGCGCCTCCCCTCCCCAGGGGCATGCCTGGGCGCTGGCCGCATCATCTTCCGATCTCCACACGCTGCCGCCGTCGGCATTCACGGGGCGCGCGCGCCGCTCTCGGCCTCCTGCGTCCCCGGGCCTTCCCGACGGGACGGGAGCGCCGGTGGGGCCGGTGCCTCGCGTCTCGCCGACGCCTCGGCGACGCGGCGCGGTGCGGAGCCCGATTTGCCCTGCGCCGAGGTCGCCGATGCGTCGCCGACGTCGCCGGTGCACCACCGATGCTTCGCCAAGGCCTCGGCGACGCTGCGCGATCCGCCGATCCCGTCTCATCGGACCCCATGTTGGGCGTTCCACAGAGGGCCTTGCCTCCGAGGATCGAAGAAGATGCCAGCTCTTCCTCGGCGGAAGGCGGCGGAAGGTCGGCGGAAGCAGAACGAGGCCGCCTTCGCCGGCGGAAGCCGGCGGAAGCCGGCGCCAGGCGGCGGAAGTGAAAGATGTGTGTCCCGAGAGATGGAAACAATTTCGGGTTGAGGGTTTCCGAAATCTGATGGATGGGCCTGTCTTCCACCACCACCACCACCACCACCATAGGTTGGAGGGGAGGGAGTAGGAGGAGGACGAAGAAGAGGAGGAGGAGGAGGAGGAGGAGGAGGAGGAGGAGGAGGGGGAGGTGGAGGGGGAGGGGCAGGTGGAGGGGCAGGAGGAGGACGAAGAGGAGGAAGGAGGAGGAGGCGGAGGAGAGGACACCCTCCCCCTCCAACTTATGTTGGTGGTGGTGGTGGAAAACAGGCCCATCAAAATCGCCCATTGTGCATGTGCATGTGGCCCCGGAGGGCGGCGAGGAGCCCTCCGCGAGCGCCCCGTCGCCTTCACTCGCTCCGGGCGCCGCTGGGCCTCGGGCGCCTGCTTCGCCTCGCGCGCACGTGCCCGCGGCTCGTGCCCTCCCGCGCGGTCGTCGCCCCGTCCCTTCCTCTCTCCTCGTCCCTGCCCTTCTCTCTCGCTCTGGGGGCGCAGCATGGGCGACGCGAAAAAAGGGGGCCGTCTGCGCCGAGATGGGCGCGTGAGCTGCCCGCGTGAGGTCGCGCGTGAGCGCCCTCGCCTGCAGTGCAGCGTGCCGCGCTGGTGGCCTGCGTGAGCCGCCGCGCATGGTCGCTGTGCCATCTCGCGCAAGGCCCGTTTTTGATCGTCGCCCCCGGGATATAGACATACATTTTCGGAGGTCAGCGCGGATTCTGTTGAGTCGGAGCTGGAGCCTCCTGGCGGCACGTCCGGCGCCGCCCCGGCCCAGCGCCGATCCACAGAAATCGGCGCTGACCTCCGGGAGTTTACAATGGAGGCCCATGCCAAGAAACCCCCTGCTTGCCTCCAGGGTGCCCTGGGTTTCTTGGGCTTCGATGGTTTTGCGATAGACCGCGTGACGTCCCCACACCAAAAATACATGGACGTCCGAGGGTCTCAGGGTTGGGTTTCTTGTGGAAGGTTTCTTGTAGATTGGCCTCACCCTTCGTTCCTCGACTCGTCCGTGCGGCCCCCACAGGTCGAACCCTGAGCCCCCAGCCCTCCAGCTCGTGTGGCCCTCACCAGGTCGGGCCCTCAGGGCGGGCCCGGCGTATGCGCCGGTTCCATGGCCCCGCGCAGCGAGCCCCGAAGCACCTCGCGCTTGCAAGCCGACAGCGCGCACGCGCCGCCGTGCGACGTGTTCGGGGCGCTTGCCCCGTCTCTGGGATCCCGCGCGTGCGGGCCACCACCGCCGAGAGTCTACGGAGGGTTCGCGGCGTGTCGACCGACGGCGACCCCGCTACCGGCGTTCAACCTTGAGCGCCGCCGGCGACCGAGAATTTGTCGATGTTGGAAGATCTGACGTTTGGGAAATGGCCGATCGTTCAAGGTCGAACGGTCGGCGCGGTGTCAGGAACCAATCGACACGCACCTGCCGTAGGGGGGGGGCACCGACCCTGCGGCGCTGGCACGCCTGAGCGTCGTCCTGTGCTGGGTGACGCTCGGGCGTGCTAGCGCCCAGGGGTCGCGCCCCTCGCCCCTCCCCCCGCCCCCCCCTCCGAGGAACTCTCGGTGGCCTTTGTCCTGTCTCTTCTTCGAGAGAGGCTACGTGCACAAGCCAGGTATCTGCTCCAGAACTTGCCTGGACGCCAGTTCAGGTGCATTACAGGGAACATGCACTATTGATGATACTTTCGGGCTGAACGAGGGGCCCACCTCGCTGGAGGCCCACGCTGTGCGCACAAATGCGTGCGAAGCCAAGCGTGGGTGCTGACGCCTGCGTGTGGCTCGTGGGGAGAACCTGGTCTGCTCCTCCGCCACGCTGTGTGCCCAGGTGAGGGTGGGACAAACGACTGTGCCGATCATGGCAAGGGAGGCTATGGCAGCGTTCTGAATTCTGAGTCGTCATCGAAGGAATCAGGCAAGTATGTCTCCTCATGTCTACCCTCCTCGTCTAGGGAGAAGGAAACTCGCTCCCAGGACTACAAAGCTTGCCGACCCTTTTAGGAGCACTTGCGCCTAAGGCTGCACCGCGAAATCATTTCGAAAAGTATACACCACCACCGCCCAAGACGCCCTTTGCTCTCCTTTCTGGTGGTGGTGGTCCTAATTCCTAATGTGCCCGCTCCCTTCTCTCAATTGGATCCCCTCCCCCAAAGAGACCACTCCCGCATGCAGCCTTCGGGGAAGAGCCACGAGCCCCCTTGGAACTTCGGAATGACGCGGCCACAGACAACTGGTGAAGAGAGGGAGAAGCGTTCTGTAAAGAAAGTTGTTCTCCTACCCACCCTCCGAAAGTCACAGACCCTGACCATTCAGGGCGACGAATAAGCTAGACTTCAGGTGCGCATCATGAAAAGTAGGCGCGGCATAGCTTGCGGGGGCGCACAGGCGAGACGGTCCTCGGCGGATGCAAGAGATCACGGGGAGGGGGGGGGGAACAGACTAGCAAAGAGCGTAAGACTGATCAACGCGCGCTCACAGTCGCGAGGTTTCCGCGAATGCTGCTCGAAGTGGATCACATCACGCTCTTAGCCGCTACTGCCACACGCCTGCAAGTGTCGAGGGCAAAGAGCACACGTGGGGCCCATCGGGAAGGAAGGAGGGAGGAGGATGTACGATACCAATGCTCAGTTCACCCGTCCTTTCTTCTCAGCCTACCCTCACAAGTTCTCCCCCTCGCGCGCCCGAGCTGGACGTTCCTCCGCGATCAGCCTGGCCAAGGCTCCGCACCGCCCCATGGGGGATGGCAGCGCGCGCCCCTGCCGAGCAGCCGCCGGAAGAGCGCACGAGGAGGAAGATCAGCAGAGACACTATGAGGGTCGCTCTCTTCCTCTTCCTCCGTTTCCTCGTCCGCCTTCCTCCTCCTCCTCCTCCTCTTCCTCCTCCTCCTCCTCCTCCTCCTCCTCCTCACCGTCGTCCTCCTCCTCCTCCTCCTCCTCCTCCTCCCCTCCTCCCTCCTCCTCCTCCTCCTCCTCCTCCTCCTCCTCCTCCTCCTCCTCCTCCTCCTCCTCCTCCTCCTCTTCGTCCTCCTCCTCCGCCTCCATCTTTCTGGACGGGGCGCCGAATGAAGCCTGCCAGGTCGCTCAACGAGGCTCTCAGAGTGTTGATTGCCAGTGCTCTCAACTGCGGGCCCGCTGGGGCTGAAGAACACGGAACTGCGGCCACCCCGTGCCCTCTCCCCCTCCCCCATCGCTGGCACCCCAGTCGAGGAGGAGCAGGAGCAGGGAAGAGGGTGGACGGAGGGGAGGCGGGAGGAGGGCTGGGAGGGGGAAGCAGGAGGGAGACCGCGAAAATTGCTCCTTTTCTGACCATCCCCTGCTCTCTCTTCCTCCCATCTCACTTACTTGTGGGTAGGACGTCACTCCGCTGGACCCCCCAGCAGCCCTCGAAAGTGGTGACAGTCTCGCAGATCGCAGCCCCCCCAGGGATGGCGAGGTCTAATTTGAATTTGAGTAGGACGTCACTCCGCTGGACCCCCGAGCAGCCTTCGAAAGTGGCGACAGTCTCGCAGATCGCAGCCCCCCTGGGAGGCGAGGTTTCCTGGTGATCCGCGTAGGACGTCACTCCGCTGAGGATGCCAGGGATGACCTGATAGGCGGCAAGCTGGCACGCAGGAAGGAGCGCGGAAAGAAGCAGGCAGGAAAGATGAGAGGGGGAGAGAGGCGGGAGGAGGGAGGCGGGAAGGAAGGAAGGAAGGAAGGAAGGAAGGTGTGCGACCGCAGTGCTTTTTTAAGCGAGAAACCAACGCAGGCGGGTTGGAAACAATAATCAGAAATTGTCAACACATCGTCCCCAGATTATGCTTTTACTATTCTTGAATATTCCTCCTGTAGAGGGACATGCCCGACTTCGACCGAGGATCGAGGATGCTGCTGGGTGATCCCGGGCGTTCCCTGCGCGGTCTGGCGTTTTTTTGTTTGGGGGGTCCCGAGGGGCCTTCCTCCTTGAGGAGGCAGCGACCCCCTGGCTGCGGGCAGTATGTGTGTCCATGTCCAGTGCGCCTTGGACTTTCTCTTGGCGGGGGCACCGCAAGGCCGAGGCGCACTGGATAGGGACAAACATCGAGCTTCTGTAGGGGCCAGATGCTTATCCATATTCAGTGCGCCTCGGGGTTCTGGGGAAGGGAGCCCGAAACTCCAAGCTGCAGAGGATATAGACACAAGTCTTGCCCCCCGTCGTGGCGACCCCCCTGGACATGGCCTGGCCCTTCCTCCCTCTGATCCTTAACGGGGCAGCAGCAGCACACTTCGCTGCCGTGCTGCACACGGCCGCACGCCGAGGCCTCCGCGCACGTGCTGATTTTCCGTACGCGTGCCGCGCCCTGCTTCTCAGAGGTCCGCGCAGGCATTCGGTTTCGCGGCTCTCGCGGCACGCCCCCGGATCGACGGGTGGGCCGCCCGTCCCTTCTTCTCCTCCTTCTCCTCCCCCTCCTGCTCCTCCTCCTCCTCCTCCACCACATCCCCCTTCTCCTCCTCCTCCTCCTCCTCCTCCTCCTCCTCCTCCTCCTCCTCCACGTCCTCCTCCTCCTCCCCTTGCCCACGATCCGCAGAGAGGAATATGCATCGATACCGAATACCCTTCGCTCGTCGCTTCGGCTGGATTCGCCTCGGAACCTGGTCAGACCGTACTCCGGAAGAGGTCCTTGTAGCAGCGGTGGCGGGACCTGGTTGCTTCCCCAATCCCGGTCACTTGAGCTACTAATCATTGCCCCCGATTCTCCCCTTCCTCCTGACCATCCTCCTTCCTGACGGGTATCCTCGGCCTCCCCGCCCTCCTCATCCTTCTTCTCCCCATCCTCCTCCCTCCAATGTTCATCCTCGCACCCATCCGCATCCCCCTCCCACGTCTCCGTCTCCCCATTATGTTCCTCATCACCGCCACTCATCGTCCGACTTCCTTCCTTCCTTCTTCCCATGTCCATACTTTTTTCTCTGTCAAAATTGTTCCGCTTCGTCATTGCTTTCTTCTTAAGCTCCATGTGCATTATCCTGATCCTCCTCGTCACCATCACCCTTGTAACATACACTACCCATCCTCATCCGGTCTCCGCCTCCTGCTCTCCCCCTTTTTCCATCCGGATCATCCCCACCCCTCCTCATGCTCATTCCCCGAGTCATCAACCTCTTAACTTTGTTCCGTTGCCTGTTTCTCATCTCAATGTCCTTCATACTTCCCATCATGATCCTCATGTCCATCCCCATCTGCGTATCGCATATCCTCCCTCACATTGGTATGAATCATCATGCACTGTTCTTCACAGTCCACACCCTGCTTCTGATTCCACACCACTGCAGCATCACTGATCATACGTACCCGTCCGTGCTCATCCGACTCCTCATCCGCCTCCTGGATCCCCTGTTTCCTCCCCCCCCTTGCCGTTGCTGTCCTTCTCCTTTTCGTTCATCCCCCTGCCTCGGCCGCGTGCGGATAACGCGGGCCTGCAGGCCGATAGATTCCCTGATGCAGGGTGCCAGCCGCTCATGCCCGATTGTATACGCAGAATGACCTGCCCCTTGACGCAGCGCTGGTGTACAGTTCTCAGTGCCACTTCCCTCCGTTGCAGTCGTCATTGTTGCCTGAGGCACTCTGGAGGTGCGGGGCGTTGAGCCGCATCAGCGATGCATCGGCGATGCGGCGCGATCCTCCGGCCCCATCCACTCGGAGCCCGTCTGGGAGGCCTCGAGACGAGTGCGAGGGTCTCTTGGGCGGCCTCCCAGGGGCCTCTTGGGAGGCTCTCGGGTGCATGCGGAGGCTCTCGGGTGCATGCGGGGCGGGTGCTTGCTTCTTGGGGCCCTGTGGGCAGACGGGCCGCGCGCCAGGGGCGCCTTACAGTGGAAGTCCATGCCAAGAAACACCCCGGTTGCCTCCAGGGCGCCCTGGTGTCCTGGGGTTCCGGCGGCTTTGCCATGGTGAGCGTGACGCTCCCACACCGGAATGCAATGGACGTCCTGGGGTCTCCGGGTTGGGTTTCTTGTGTGGGAGGTGTCTTGTCGACGGGCCTCCCCTGCAGTTCTCCAGGGCACCGTGCAGGGATCTGTGCGCACGCCGTCCTGCCCAGGCCAGGAGGACGCACACAAACACCGAGCTTGGGCCTGATATGCCGCCTGGCCAGGATTGGTGCAAGTGTACACTTGGCGTCGTCCTGGCATTCCCTTCCCCCCCTCCCCTGGTCCCTCGATCATCCTCGATCCTCCTCCTCGATCCTCCTCGATCCTTCTCCTCGATCCTCCTCCTCGATCCTCCTTGATCATGGATCCTCCTCCTTCTCCTTCTGCTCGATCCCGCCGTGCAGCGGGTGCTGGCCCCCTTCTGAGGGTTGTGCGCCCATGGTGGTGCCAGCCAGGTTAGTGCAGTTTGAGCTGTGTGAGCCTTACTTGGGCTTGCATCGTAAGACGCCTGGTTTCGAATGATCCCTCTCAGAGTGCAGTCTAGCGTTTCTGGTAGCCAGTGCCAGTAGTACCGGGAAGCTGTATCTACACATGACGCGGCCAGCTTGGGCGAGGGCTGAATACATAATTGGCCACGTGTCTTTCAAGCCTTCGGCCCTTGTTTGGCCAAGCACGCTGGTCCTCCGCATGTGTACGGTGGGGGCGTTGGTTAAGGAACGTGCACGGGAGGCTTCAGACCCTGGAGGGTTCCTTATCTGATGAGGGCGGCGGTAATATCCACTGCCAATCCGCGATTGGAGTTCCACTGGCTTCCAGACCCTGGATTCCTTATCCACTGCTTCGTTTTCCAATGCCCCCACCGCATCCAGCGAGTGGCCTCCTGAGGTTCCGCATGCGAATCCGGCCATGTGTGGGTTCAGTTTCCTGCTGAGTCTGGACCGCGACCCTTCGCACGGGTCTGCTCTGCCCCGCCCTGCCGCGCCTCGATCCTCGACCGGCGCACTCTGCCCGCCGCCTGCCCGTCAGGAAGAGTGCGCCGCGCGCGGCGAAGACTGCACCAGTCTGAAGTGCTGCAAGGAGGCGGGCATGCAGTGCTACCAGAAGGCGCGTGCGCCCTCCGCCCGTCGTCCCCCGCCGTCCGCGCGCCCTGCTGTCATCTGCCGCCTCCGCGTCCTCCTCTTCCTCCTCCTCCTCCTCCTCCTCCTCCTCCTCCTCCTCCTCCTCCTCCTCCTCCTCCGTTGGCCTTCTCCTCCTCCTCCCTCCTCCTCCTCCTGGCTCCTCCTCCTTAGCTCCTCCTCCTTCCTCCTCCTCCTCGTCCCCCTCCTCCTCCCTTCTCCTCCTCCTGGCTCCTCCTCCTCCTCCTCCTCCTCCTCCTCATCATCATCATCCTCCTCCTGGCTCCTTCTCCTGCTCCTCCTCCTCCTCCTGGCTCCTCCTCCTCCCCCTCCTCCTCCTCCTCATCCTCCTCCTGGCTCCTCCTCCTCCTCCTCCTCCTCCTCCTCCTCCTCCTCCTCCTCTCGCCTGGCCACTTGCTCCGTGATCTTCGGTGGGGCGGAGTGGCTCCTCTCAGGCTTGGAGGGGCTCCACCGGGGGCCCTCATTCCTCCTGTGTCGGCCTGGCGCTCAGACTGCGCGGCCGCTCCAGTCAGCGTCTTGTCCTCTTCTTCCGCCTCCTCCTCCTCCTCCTCCTCCTCCTCCTCATCCTCCTCCGCCTCCTCCTCCTCCCATCCTCCTCCTCCGCCTCCTCCTGCGCCGCCTCCTCTTCTTCTAAGGCAGCGACCGAACCAAGACAACACGATCACAACAGCCCAGACGACTTACGATGATTATCGGCCGCCGCCGCCGCCGGGAGTACGACGTGAGCCCGCCTGCGTATCACGTGTTTGAAAGGCCACGGCCTCCACGCCATGCCCTCATGGGCACAGGCGGGATACCCAGGGGAGCGAGCACGACTCCGGCGTTCGCTTCGCCTTCGCTTCGCTTCCTCCGCCTCTGGGGCGCTCGATCATGGGCCCATTGTTGAGCGCAACCGCCAAAGACCGCCGAAGACCGTCAGACGACCGCCAATGACAACCGAAGACCGTCAGAAAACCGTCGAAGACTGTCAGGAGACAGTCAAAATACCGCCGAACATCGCTGAAAACCGCCCGAGGCCGATGGGCAGCAAGGTGCCGATTGTCGAATCCGTAGCGCCTCCTCCCTCGGAGACACCACCTCTTCGTCCTTCATTCTCCCTCCTCCTCCGTCCACCCCCTCCCCGTCTTCCTCCTGTCTATCAGGCGATCGGCATGCGTGTGTGCTTACTCGGATTGTTGCTTGCATTATTTGTGGTATTCTGTCTGGGTGCACATGTTCCTGTGTGCGCGCATGCTCGACAGCCTGGTTGGCAAAGCGATCACTCCGCGGTAGGCAGTCCTTCGTGTTGTCCTTGGTTTGCTCTACGCGGCTTGCACCATTTTGGGAGGAGCGGGACGGGAACAGATCCGACACATGGACAATTCATTCACTGAGACAATGGACGAACAGTGTCGCCGAAACGAACAGCCAAGACATGGCACGCTCACGGAAACGGGATATCGCAAGTCAGGTTGAACCAGGCGAATCAACATTGAAGTTGAAGACGACCACAAGTGGTTTGAACAGGGTGGTGTGGGGGGTGAATGGAGACTGGGGGTCAGTTGGACAAGTGTGGAGGCGAAGGCGAAGGTGGAGCATTGGAAGAGGAATGGGAGGAGGATGGAGAAGATGCGTTGAGGTGGAGTATAGAGGATAGCGGTGGAGGATGCATGCAGGATCAAGAACGGAGGAGGACGAGGTAGGAGGATAGTGGAGAAGATAGGAGGAGTAGGAGAAGGAGGAGGAGGAGGATAGAGGATGATGGACGAGGATGGAGGAGGATGGAGGACCCAGAGGGAGGATGGAAGGGAGGTTGAGGAGGATGGCACTGGGGATGCTGGAAGGGACGGGAGGGGACGGAGGCTGGTGGAGGAAGGACGGACTGGGAGGATGGAAGGGAGGGAGCACGCAGTGGAGCGAGGATGGGAGAGTTGCAGGTTCAAGCCTCCGTCATGGAAGAGTGCTACCGCCGGTATCTGCCCGATGGGATCGGCGCGCGGCAGAGATGGCACCGCCCGTTTGAGGAGCTGCCCCTCCTCGAGTTCACGGCGCCGGCCGCCGCCGGGCAGCAGGAGCCGTGTCCTGGGCACACCGTCTCGACAGACCTGGCTTTCTGGAGGTTCGTGTGCGGTGTCTTCCAGCGCTGCAAGGCTCGAGTAACAAAAGACGCCATAAGCATAAAACTGTTGGCGTCCGCGCGGATTTTCTTGGATCCGCGTTGGGCTCTCCCAGCGGCGCCTCCGGCGCCGCCCCTGGCGCGCTCCGCGCGCTAGGGAGGGGGCTCCATCGCAGATCCAAGCCAAGAGATCCGCGCAGAGCGCCACAGGTTTATGTTTTTGCCGTTGTTTCTTCTTCTAAAGGCGGACCTGGGGAAGGTGCTGGAGCTGCGCGCGGCGGACCGCAACGTGCTCGACCTGGCAAATACGAGCAGCGGCCTGCGACAGCAGGACGTTTTGACCCTGGCCGACCCCTCGGGCCGCCGCCTGTTCTCGGGGCGGGCAGCAGCAGACTGCCTGGGCAAGCCGACGAGCTATCGATCGCCGGAGTCGTGCGAGGACAGCTTCGTCACTCTCTTCGAGCCGTGTGTCTCCGTGGCGCAGGCCGAGCAGGTCTTCGATCTGGGGAGGCCAGCCCCATCGCATTCTTTGCTCCACGCCGCGCTTCCCCTCACCCTTTACGTGCTTCCCCAGTGTTTCCCCTTAGCTGTTTCTCGTCGTCGTCCTTACCATCCTCCACCGCCTCCCCCTCCTCGCTGTATGCCTTCTCCACGTAATGTCTTCCCTCTCCTTTGTCTTTGCTACCTCATCCCTCTCTTCCCACCCCTCCTTTCGCCACCCACGCCGCCTCCTCCTCCTCCTCCTCATCCTCCTCCTCCTCCTCCTTCTTGACCTCATCATTATTTGTTTCCTTCTTCTGACAAGTGACTAGTGACGCTTCGCGTATCCACACCAGCCCATTCAGAAACGATGCACAGGCGAGTTGCATTGATCAGGAAAACTGTATAAGCAAGCAGTGGGACAAAAAGGGGGGCTGCCGTCAAACCGAAGCTCGGGATGAGTCTGAGCAGACCCAGGAGTCGACCATGCATGCCTCTCTCGGGCCTTCCGATGCGGGAGCAACCTGGAGGTTTGGGGCTCGCTTGGGGTCCTCTTGGAAACCTTGGAGGCCCTCCTGGGGCCAGCTTCGAGGACATCCATCCAAGAAGGGAGGTCCCCCTAACGGTGCCGCCCCTCTGGAGCCCGATGCGTCGCCGGTTAGGGCCCTCTTGGGGCTTTCTGGGACACTCTTGAGGCTCTCGTGGTCCATCCTGAAGCCTGAGGCGCCCATCGGAAGCCCATGAATCATGGGTCCTCTCTGGGTCGGAACGATGTGGGCTGCTTGGGAGCGTCCATGGGAGGCTACGTGGCCACTCGGGGCCTTCTGGGAAGGGTCTTAGGGCCTCGTGCGGGCATCTCGGAGGCCATCTTGAGCCATCTTTCGGACATCGTGGGCAGGCTTGAAAGTAATCCTATTCTCTCTAAAGTCGTCTTCCATCCATGTTGTGAGCCATCTTGGACGCTCTAACCCCTCGCGGGACGCCCCCGTCCAGACCCAGGAGGTGGATGGAGGGGGAGGGGGAAGCCCCTCCCAGAAGGGGAAGAGGAGAGTTTGGGGAGATGGAGCGCCTTGGACAACTTCACGAGGGCTAGTGGATTCCCCCTCGCGTAGTTCGCCGTCTCTGTCCTCGTCTTCCCTTCCTTCGCCTCCCCCTCCTAGGGGCAGTGGCACGTCCGCTCCGCTCTACTGGGGGGTCGACTTCGAGGACAGCGCGGTGGCCTGCCCGCGGGAGCTGGACATCGAAGAGCAGCAAAGTTCATAAGCGCCCGCTTTCGAAGGTCCGCGCGGAATACTCGGGTCCGGCGCTGGGCCCCCTGGCGGCGCCCTGGGCGCCGCCCCCGGGCTCGCTCAGCGCGCCAGGGAGGAGGGCCCAGTGCGGATACGAGAGGTCCGCATGGACTTCCGACGTTTGTGCTTACGTTGTGCTCCCGTCCTCTAGGACAAGAGCCTGGACGCGTACTTTTCGGCGCACAGGAGCCGCGCCGCCTCCCCACACACAGAACACCGCGAAGCGATCGCGACGGCCAGCTTCTAAGCGTTGGCCTGTCCTAGCACTTAGTCCCCATCCCCCCCTGGCTCGGGTGCGGCAGGGAGCGGAGGAGAGGGATCATCCTCGTCATCCTACTCCTCTTCCGTGTGTTTGTAGCAGGGCGTATGCACCACCTTCCCAAAGCGGAGCTTCACCACGTCAATTTTCTTCAGCCAGTCTCGCGAAACATTTCACAAGAGGAGTGAGTCCATCACACACTGGGCAATCGGGTGGCATGGCGATGACGGTGTGCGTACACATCGTATCTTATCCTTTTCCCGTCGCCTCCCTCCGCAGGGCGAGGACGGTCACCGTTCGACCGACTCGTTTGTTGGAAAGGCCCCCCTGTCAGCCCCCGAGAGTCTTCGGGCAACCGGACGTCTCAGCAGGCACCGTCAGGTCGCTGCAATAAGGGGTACGTTGGGCTCAGGAGGGTATGGTTTTCGGGCCTTGCCTTAGACCTGGGTGGGGACCCTATTCATTGCCGTGGCTCACCGTAGCCAGAAAAAGCCACTTCGTTCCTTAGTCAGCGCTCCTTCTGGGAGCACGATGACCGCACTCGGCCGAGCTAGGGGCGAGCACCCGCCGATAACACGTTGATGCAGAATCTGGCAGACTTCTTCCTCGGGACGGCGGAGATTGGACGACGAGGATCGAGGATGAGCAGGAGACGAAGAAGGGGTACCCCCTGGCGCAGGAGCCGCTTCTCCGCGGCCTCCACGCAGCCAGTCGCGCGCCTGCCCGGGCTGGAGCTGCCCCACCACAGCTGCAGAGTCGACGGCGTCCGGCTTCCGCTCCACGTGTACGTGCTGTGCAGGCCATATTGTGGTCCTCCGCCCTCCCTCGTTCGTCCTCCTTGCACCGCTCGGGTCCCTGCTCCTGCCCCATGGGTTGCCCCTCCCCGTTCGCTATCCGCTATTTATTGGCTGTCTCCAGGCCTCCAATGGGATCTCAGTAGATGGGGTCGGAGGATCACGCCGCGTCGCCGATGCATCGCCGATGCGACTCTATGTGGAGACCGATTTGTTTCACGTCGACGTGGCCGATGCGTCGCCGACGTCGACAATGCGTCACCCCGGTGCATCGCCGGTGCATCGGCGATACATCGGCGATGCATTGGCGATGCGGCGCGATCCTTCGACACCATCTACTCGGACCCCCCATCTAGGAGGCCTCTGGTCGCCGTCTGCCCCATCTTGTTGAGAGCATTCTTGGCAGGATCTCGCTGACGCCTCGCCTGCTCCTGTGAGTCACCCCATGCCCGCTCGCTCCTTGAGAGAACACGTTTGTCCCCCGAATGCGGGCTTTCAGCAGGCGGGAGCGATGTAGCTGCAAATGCAAGCATCAGCATCCCCCCCCCTTGGCCTCCTGTTCGTGCTCGTGTTCCAGGTCTTCATCCTGCTCTTCCTCCACGTCAGCCCCATCCTCATCCACGTTTCGTCGACGTCCTTCTTTCTCGCCTCCTCCTCCTCCTCCTCCTCCTCCTCTTCCTCTACCCCCACCTCCTCCTTTCACTCTGTTGTCATCCCCCCCCCGTGCAGGCTGGCCTGGTTCCACTCCCAGCAGGCGGCGGGAGCCCAGGAAGAGGTGCCTGCGCGCAAGCTTGCCCGACCCAGGCGGCTGCCCCTCTACGTGCCCAAGCTCGAGACCGCCGAGGAGGCCGCGTACCTGCGGGTGCTGGCGCGCGCGTGCGAGGACGAGCTGGGGCGCCCCGTCCCCCTCGGCTTCTTCCTGGTGTTCGAGAACCCGCGGCTCCTCTGTGCAGCACGGGAGGTTTCCGCGCCCGGCCGGCCGCCCAGAGGGCCAGTGTTAAGTCGGGCCTGTCCCTCTCTCTACAGGAGGAGTACCAACAAATAGTTTAAATAATAGTCTGGGGACGATTTTTGGACCATGCTCGATCGTTCTTGAATTTCTTAGAAATATTGGTACTGTTCGTCCAAAATCCGCCTGTAGGGGGACATGCTCGACCTAAGGCCAGTGGGTTTGGGGGGCACGGGCGGCCGCGCACGCTTCATCCCGCGGAGGCCGAGCGCCACGAGCAGCACCTGCCTTGAGTCGGGCCTGTCCCTCTAGAGGAGGAACATTTCAAAAACAGTCCCCCCACAAAAACAGTCTGGGGACGGTGCTTCTATTTGTTATACTTATTTGTTGATGTGCTTGACTGTTGTTTTTAATGGGAGGACATGCCCGACCTAACACCTGCCCTGAGCTGCTGGTGCCTGCTCTGTCGCCCTGCCTCTGGACTGGAGTGCGTGTGCGTGCGTGCGTGCGTGCGTGCGGGTGTGGGTGTGGGTGTGGGTGTGGGTGTGGGTGTGGGTGTGTGTGTGTGTGTGCGTGTGCGTGTGAGTGTGCGTGTGCGTGTGCGTGTGCGTGCGTGCGTGCGTGCGCATGTGTGTGTGTGTGTGTGCGTGTGTGTGTGGTGTATGTGAGTGTGCGTGTGCGTGTGAACGTGTGTGTGTGTGTATGTGGGCGTGCGTGTGCGTGTGTGTGTGTGCTTTTGTGTGTGCGTCTGGCTGCTGGCTCCGGGGCCCTCGCTGGCCCTCCCGGGGGGGGGGGGGGGGGGGGCCACGAGGGCCCTCGTGGCCAGGTGGTGGAGGCACTCGGGAAGGAGCACTGCCTGGGGGGCTCCCTGGGCTGGCACGACTTCTTCGCGAGCACGGCGCGGGCCTTCAAGCACGACGCGGGGCACCGCATCCCTCGGAGGTGACGATAGGGGCGAGTAGCCCAGGGGAGACCAACACGTGCATCCAGAGCCTCCGGTCGCCCACGTATTCGACGACGCTCCTGGGCGCATACGTGTGACGCCCGCCCCTGGTCTATCCGCCCCCATGGTCCGCCCCGAATCCCGCGGAAGTCCGATCCGAGGATCGTGGTGGACTGCCTGAAGGCGGGTCATCGGCTCCTGGCTCGCACCATGCACTCCTTCGGTCTGCCGGCCATTGGGGGCATGTACGGAGTGACGGCTGCGGATCCATCCGACCCGATGGCTCGCGCAGCAGTTTCTGCTGGTTTGATCAGGGACGTGCTGACCCAACTGCACCGGGGTCTTGATGGGTTCTGGCTGGGAGACAGAGGTCACGTCCAGGTTGCTAGGAATCTAGTGCAAGCATACTCTCGGTTCAGGAGGTTGAGAGGAACAGTGTCCGATGGAGGAAAGGCCGCTGCAGTGGAGTCCGGTCTTTTTGCGCTCGTGGACGGCGTCGTTGGAGGTGATAGCGTTGCAGAGGCCGAGAATTTGAAGGGATATTTGATGAACCTGTTCGCCGAGACTTATGGCATGGAACCCGAGAGGGGAATTGCTGGAATTCTGGGCCTCTACCATGGCGACGCAAAGATGCAGAGGCCGAGGACGGTGGATTTGGCAGTTCAGCGCGAGGAGTTTCGTCTGAACATTCGGCAGTCCTTACAATATCTGGTGAGCTGGCTGTCGCGAGCGGCGCCAGTCGGTGACCTAGAGAACTGGACGCCCCTGGCGGCAGCCTGCGTGCCTCTTCCCAGCGCAATCGCGTCCGCGGGCGCCGGGGAGGCCAAAGTGAATGTCCTGGACGATCTCGCCACGGTGGAGAGAAGCCGGTGGCAGATGTACGCAGAGATCGCCCACGGCCGCTTTTCTGAGATCGAGTTTCTCGTGTTGCTGGCGCAGGAGGTGCGGCAGCTCCAGCACAAAGGCCGAGTGCATTGGAACCCGTTTGCAGCCCCTACGTCCTTATTGCAATTGCCAAGGGTTCACGCCGCGTTGACGCGGCGGCGACCCAAGCGCGGGCGATCAAGATTGATGGCCGGCAGTGGCCTGGCATCGGCTGACATCGGAAGTACCGCGCTGTCGCGCGCTCGTCCGAGGTTGAACGGTTCATTCGGTGTCAAAGCCAGCGCCGAGGTCATCGGGGCGTGCACCTGTCGGAATCATATGTCATGTTAGGGCCCACGGTGTTGCGCCCCCCGCCCAGTCCTGCGCTCGAAGGTGTTTTGGTGCCACGGAATCCTTCGTCGACAATGTTCTTCGCAGGTGCTGCAGAGCGCACACGCCTTGTGGTCTTTAGTCCTTGTCTTGGTCATAGGCGTTGTTGCACTGCGGCGCTCACATGTAGAGCCTCTTTAGGGGGCATGGAAGTCCAAGAAGAGGGCCTCCGGCCCCCCCCTTGTTCCTTCTTCCTTCCTTTTTATTCAATCGTTTCGCTCATTCCGCTGGCCCATTTCGCATCACGGAGAGCTCCAGCAGAGTTTCGAGACGTACCTGGGGTGGGTCAGAGTCCTCGTGTATGTTTCTTGGGGTCTCTTCGGAGTGCTACCGGGAGCCTCCGGGGAGCAGTTTTGATGCCTCTGGGGAGCCTTTTTGGGGTCTTATTGGGTGCCTCTTGGGGCTTCCTTGGGGCCGGTTGGCGCTTTCGGGGGACCTGCTGGGGGTCTTGAGAGATCGTTTGGGGCCTCTTGGGGCCTCTTGGGGGGCTCGGCTTCCTGGGCGCCTCTTGGGGCCGAGAGCTCGAAATGTACGGATTCCTCTCTGGACCCCCTCCAGGGGCCGTCTTGGAAGCCTCTTGGGCCGTCTTGGGGCCATCTTGGGTGCCGTTTTGGAGCGATCTAGGGGCCTCTTAGACCGTCCAGGGCGGTGGGCAGCTCGAAAAGGCAGTACCGCCAAAATCGTCCGCAAACCTTAGCAACATCTATGATTTGTGCGGCTTCGGGACCTCTCGAAGTCCTTGTCAGCACCCTCCTGGAGAGTCTCGGACGCTTCTTGGGCCGTCTTGGGACCGACGCGGGCCATCTTGGAACGCTCTCGGCCTGAGGCCGTGGGGCGTGCCACCCTTGTGGCGCCTCATTGGGGCGCTCTGGGGGGCCCTGAGGCCCTTGCCGGGACGTCCTTCCTTTTTGTGATTTCTCTGTTCTCTGCTCCCTTCCTGGCACCGTTCGCCCCCCTGCACTTCTTGCCTCACACACAGACACAGACACAGACACAGACACAGACACAGACACACACACACACACACACACACACACACACACACACACACACACACACACACACACACACGCACACACACACATAAAGTCACACACAGACACACACACACACACACACGCGCACACGCACACACATGCACACGCACGCACGCACGCACGCACGCACGTATGAACGCACGTAACTATGTACGCACGCGCGCACGTGGTTGTGTCACCCACTCCACCCTCACACCTACTTCATTCTCGAGTTTACAAGGAGTTGTCCCGCAGGTCAGAGCATCCGACCGCGGACGCCGTACAGAACTGAAACTGCAGTATGGTACTCGATTTCAGCACGGATCTTGCTGCAGTTGGTGTGCTCTCGGGACAACGCTTACGATGTAGCTGGAACGAAGGCGCCAGAATTTGTTACTGAATTGTTGGTACCCTTCCTTTTGGCGAGTCGAGAAGAGGATCTGAGCTCGGGGTCCATGCCCCCAGCCGACATAGCAAAGTTATGTCTTTGGCACGACGACGAGACGACGGCTAGTCTATCGAAGACGCCTACGGCGAACCTCTGCCGCCCCCTGCCGTTCTGGAAACGCCTATGCGGCAAAACGTTGGGCCAAAGCCTTGCCAAGCCATTGGGCTATGTGTTTTCCCCGCCGCTGTGGAACCCCTTGGGGGGAAACTTAAGTGAGGAAGAAAGATAGAGAGTAAGAACGAGAGGAGGAGGAGGAGTTGGAGGAGGAAGAAGAGGATGTCAGAATGGTAAGGTTGCTGATGATGGTGTTGGTGATGGTTGTTGTGATGATAGTGGTGATGATTATGATGCTGATGGTGCTGCTGCTGTTGGTGATTATGGTGATGGTGGTGATGGTGGTGGTGGTAGCGATGATGATGGTGGTGATGAAGATGAGGATGGTGCTGATGATTAGGCTGATGATGGTGGTGATGAAGATGATGCTGGTTGTTTTGATGCTGCTGCTGATGATGATGCTGCTGCTGATGATGATGATGCTGACGCTGATGACGATGACGATGATGCTGCTGCTGCTGATGATGATGAGTATGATGATGATGCTGATGATGATGATGATGATGATGATGATGATGATGATGATGATGATGATGATGATGATCAGGAGGAGGATGAGGAGGAGGAGGAGGAGGAGGAGGAGGAGGAGGGGGAGGAGGATTCCTTTTGTTGCCTTTTTGGGGAATCGGGGTGCATCCAGGGAGAGTTCTGGGAACCTCTGAGGGGCCTCTTGGGGGCTTCCTGGTGCCTATGAGTGACGTCTGGGGGCCTGGCAGGACATGTTGACCTTCGGATGCCGTCTTGGGAGCCCAATTGGGCTGCCTTGAGGCTCCCTGGGGAAGATTTCGGGCCGTCTCGGAGGTGTGTGAGGCCGTCTGTGGGGCCTCTTGGATCATCTTGGAGCCCTTTTGGGTTTGTATTGGAGGCCTCTGAGGTCGTCTTCGGCTGTCCGACGCCTGAAAAGACGAGAACGCGAGAACAGTTGAACAACCTTAGGACATCAATGATTTTGGCCTCCTGCAGGTCCTCGCCCTCTTGGGGCGTCTAGGGGGCCTTTTGAGCCCTGGGCCGTCTGCAGGTCATCTTGGGCTGTCGTGGAGTCATATTTGGTCCGTCTTGATGGCATCTTGGGCCCTCTTGTAGCTGTCTTGGCCGT